GCTCTACGGTGTTCGTGTAAGTGCATTTTCGAAAACATCCCAACCGATTCAGAATTATAATTAGCGAAATCATGTAAAACTGATATCAGTGATCATAAATATGTTATTTTTGAAATTCAATACTCACAGTAATTATCCAATTTTCACATTTCAAAACATACAGCAAATAACGCTGTGAATCGCGATTTCATACTGTGTAAAAAATGTCGCCATTTTCGATGAAGCCTATTTTGAAAGGTCATTTTCAGCACTTGAGCTTTGTCTAAAATAATAGTGGATGGTATCAAGAAACAGGAAATTTCCCGCAGAATTTGAAACTGTGAAGTGTATTTGTGTGCGTGGGATACTTTGAGTTTTATTCGACTTCAAATTGAGGGTTGAAGGGGAAGGACATATATGTCCCTGTGGCATCCAGGGGGTTAAATGAATGTTATGAACTTCTGCCTTCTGGACGCCATTTCAAAATCATGTATTACAAAACTAATAGAACTTCAAATTCATTTGTCCCATACAGCATAAAACTTCTAAATCTTCCTCCAAAATTGTAATAGTGAAATCTATGATGAAGCACGAGTGATTATTATATCATGAACTTTGATTATGTTATAATTCAACATTATATTCTGATTAGCTTGGCATTGTGTATAAATACTTTAAATTATTTGTTGTTATATGCTTGTATTGGCTCTTTGAATGCAAGGCAAATTTCCCTTTCGGGACAATAAAGTTTATCTAATCTTATGTGTCTTTAACTTGTCTTTGCATATCACACAGCACAACTACTTTTCATCAAATAAACAGGAATGGTTTAAGAGATATGGCATCAGGTCATGTGCAATACTAAAGCTGTAGATCTTGCTCATCATATTCCTTATTGTTTAAAGCTTGCATTATTTGTGCAGTTTGCCATTCAGTCCAAAGTTATGATGAATGCATAACTGTCTTTTAACCCCACTCCTAGTATATTCACTGAGATATGACCATGCTTTGTTTCATCCCCTTAACTACCACGACCTTTTCATCTCTTTTGGTATGATGTGGCCTAGGATCAAGACGCATTAATCAGTATTCCAGTTGTATCATGTCAGCTTCTAGCAGGAGGAAAGCCTGAAGTGATCCACGTGTAAGATCTTGACCATTTTGCTGAAAGCAGTGAGCATGGGTATGTGCTGACAGACCTGGAGACATGATCAGAGAGAAGCAGTAGTCAGTCTAGGAACAGTGAGCATGGGTATGTGCTGACAGACCTGGAGACATGATCAGAGGGAAGCAGTAGTCAGTCTAGGAACAGTGAGCATGGGTATGTGCTGACAGACCTGGAGACATGATCAGAGAGAAGCAGTAGTCAGTCTAGGAACAGTGAGCATGGGTATGTGCTGACAGACCTGGAGACATGATCAGAGAGAAGCAGTAGTCAGGTTAGGAACAGTGAGCATGGGTATGTGCTGACAGACCTGGAGACATGATCAGAGAATCAGTAATCAGTCTAGAACTAGTATGTGCAGACAGACCTGAGACATGATTGAAGCAGTAGTCAGTCTAGAACAGTGAGCATGGGTATGTGCTGAGACCTGGAGACATGATCAGAGAGAAGCAGTAATCAGTCTAGGAACAGTGAGCATGGGTATGTGCAGACAGACCTGGAGACATGATCAGAGAGAAGCAGTAGTCAGTCTAGGAACAGTGAGCATGGGTATGTGCTGACAGACCTGGAGACATGATCAGAGAGAAGCAGTAATCAGTCTAGGAACAGTCAGCATGGGTATGTGCTGACAGACCTGGAGACATGATCAGAGAGAAGCAGTAGTCAGTCTAGGAACAGTGAGCATGGGTATGTGCTGACAGACCTGGAGACATGATCAGAGAGAAGCAGTAATCAGTCTAGGAACAGTGAGCATGGGTATGTGCTGACAGACCTGGAGACATGATCAGAGAGAAGCAGTAGTCAGTCTAGGAACAGTCAGCAAGGGTATGTGCAGACAGACCTGGAGACATGATCAGAGAGAAGCAGTAGTCAGTCTAGGAACAGTGAGCATGGGTATGTGCTGACAGACCTGGAGACATGATCAGAGAGAAGCAGTAGTCAGTCTAGGAACAGTGAGCATGGGTATGTGCTGACAGACCTGGAGACATGATCAGAGAGAAGCAGTAATCAGTCTAGGAACAGTGAGCATGGGTATGTGCAGACAGACCTGGAGACATGATCAGAGAGAAGCAGTAGTCAGTCTAGGAACAGTCAGCATGGGTATGTGCTGACAGACCTGGAGACATGATCAGAGAGAATCAGTAGTCAGTCTAGGAACAGTGAGCATGGGTATGTGCTGACAGACCTGGAGACATGATCAGAGAGAATCAGTAATCAGTCTAGGAACAGTGAGCATGGGTATGTGCAGACAGACCTGGAGACATGATCAGAGAGAAGCAGTAGTCAGTCTAGGAACAGTGAGCATGGGTATGTGCTGACAGACCTGGAGACATGATCAGAGAGAAGCAGTAATCAGTCTAGGAACAGTGAGCATGGGTATGTGCTGACAGACCTGGAGACATGATCAGAGAGAAGCAGTAGTCAGTCTAGGAACAGTGAGCATGGGTATGTGCTGACAGACCTGGAGACATGATCAGAGAAGCAGTAGTCAGTCTAGGAACAGTGAGCATGGGTATGTGCTGACAGACCTGGAGACATGATCAGAGAGAATCAGTAATCAGTCTAGGAACAGTGAGCATGTGTATGTGCAGACAGACCTGGAGACATGATCAGAGAGAAGCAGTAGTCAGTCTAGGAACAGTGAGCATGGGTATGTGCTGACAGACCTGGAGACATGATCAGAGAGAAGCAGTAATCAGTCTAGGAACAGTCAGCATGGGTATGTGCTGACAGACCTGGAGACATGATCAGAGAGAAGCAGTAGTCAGTCTAGGAACAGTGAGCATGGGTATGTGCTGACAGACCTGGAGACATGATCAGAGAGAAGCAGTAGTCAGTCTAGGAACAGTGAGCATGGGTATGTGCTGACAGACCTGGAGACATGATCAGAGAGAAGCAGTAGTCAGTCTAGGAACAGTGAGCATGGGTATGTGCTGACAGACCTGGAGACATGATCAGAGAGAAGCAGCAGTCAGTCTAGGAACAGTGAGCATGGGTATGTGCAGACAGACCTGGAGACATGATCAGAGAGAAGCAGTAGTCAGTCTAGGAACAGTCAGCATGGGTATGTGCTGACAGACCTGGAGACATGATCAGAGAGAATCAGTAGTCAGTCTAGGAACAGTGAGCATGGGTATGTGCTGACAGACCTGGAGACATGATCAGAGAGAATCAGTAATCAGTCTAGGAACAGTGAGCATGGGTATGTGCAGACAGACCTGGAGACATGATCAGAGAGAAGCAGTAGTCAGTCTAGGAACAGTGAGCATGGGTATGTGCTGACAGACCTGGAGACATGATCAGAGAGAATCAGTAATCAGTCTAGGAACAGTGAGCATGGGTATGTGCAGACAGACCTGGAGACATGATCAGAGAGAAGAAGTAGTCAGTCTAGGAACAGTGAGCATGGGTATGTGCTGACAGACCTGGAGACATGATCAGAGGGAAGCAGTAGTCAGTCTAGGAACAGTGAGCATGGGTATGTGCTGACAGACCTGGAGACATGATCAGAGAGAATCAGTAATCAGTCTAGGAACAGTGAGCATGTGTATGTGCAGACAGACCTGGAGACATGATCAGAGAGAAGCAGTAGTCAGTCTAGGAACAGTGAGCATGGGTATGTGCTGACAGACCTGGAGACATGATCAGAGAGAATCAGTAATCAGTCTAGGAACAGTCAGCATGGGTATGTGCTCACAGACCTGGAGACATGATCAGAGAGAAGCAGTAGTCAGTCTAGGAACAGTGAGCATGGGAATGTGCTGACAGACCTGGAGACATGATCAGAGAGAAGAAGTAGTCAGTCTAGGAACAGTGAGCATGGGTATGTGCTGACAGACCTGGAGACATGATCAGAGAGAAGCAGTAGTCAGTCTAGGAACAGTGAGCATGGGTATGTGCTGACAGACCTGGAGACATGATCAGAGGGAAGCAGCAGTCAGTCTAGGAACAGTCAGCATGGGTATGTGCAGACAGACCTGGAGACATGATCAGAGAGAAGCAGTAGTCAGTCTAGGAACAGTGAGCATGGGTATGTGCTGACAGACCTGGAGACATGATCAGAGGGAAGCAGTAGTCAGTCTAGGAACAGTGAGCATGGGTATGTGCTGACAGACCTGGAGACATGATCAGAGAGAATCAGTAATCAGTCTAGGAACAGTCAGCATGGGTATGTGCTCACAGACCTGGAGACATGATCAGAGAGAAGCAGTAGTCAGTCTAGGAACAGTCAGCATGGGTATGTGCTGACAGACCTGGAGACATGATCAGAGAGAAGCAGTAGTCAGTCTTGGAACAGTCAGCATGGGTATGTGCTGACAGACCTGGAGACATGATCAGAGAGAAGCAGTAGTCAGTCTTGGAACAGTCAGCATGGGTATGTGCTGACAGACCTGGAGACATGATCAGAGAGAAGCAGTAGTCAGTCTAGGAACAGTGAGCATGGGTATGTGCTGACAGACCTGGAGACATGATCAGAGAGAAGCAGTAGTCAGTCTAGGAACAGTGAGCATGGGTATGTGCAGACAGACCTGGAGACATGATCAGAGGGAAGCAGTAGTCAGTCTAGGAACAGTGAGCATGGGTATGTGCAGACAGACCTGGAGACATGATCAGAGGGAAGAAGTAGTCAGTCTAGGAACAGTGAGCATGGGAATGTGCTGACAGACCTGGAGACATGATCAGAGGCAAGCAGTAGTCAGTCTAGGAACAGTGAGTTAACAATGTTTATGGCATGCATGACGTGAAGGAAATAAGTTACAGGAAAGGAAAGAGAATTGGCAGAAACAACAGAAGCCCTGTTACAATAAATGAGAATTGGTGTATTTTCTTGTTTTGGACTTGCTTTCATACATACCTTCTTCTTGAGCCAGTTGACTGCCCATTGCCACTTACTGGGTGTGCTTAGTAGATAATCCTTGGCAATACTACACCGATTGCTGACTCCCACCAGGAACTTGATACACTGGTAGGAACGTCGACTGTCACACACATGGTTCAGTCGGATTATTGCTAAAATTGTCAATGGAAGATAAGGTACATTATTTTGACACAAACTCACAACACTACAGCATGAAGCAAAAATATTTATTCAGATTATTTAAAACGATAAAATCTAATTCTGAATAGATAGTGAGAATGACAGTGAAACATTACCTATGAGCCCTTCATACTTGTGGCCAGATTCATCAGTGTGCCCATCAATCACCCACTTGAGGCGTGTCAGTTGAAGTGAATCCTCTATCACCTTTCACAAATCAAAATGTATCAACCTACTATATGACATGCCAAAAGCAGGATTCATATGCATGCAAGTGAAAACACTCATCGGCGCACCTGAATATGAATATCTTGAATTACCAAGTAACTACCAATTACTGATAGAACCATGTTCAATAATATTATCAAAGATGAACTCTTTGACAGACATTAAACCATAATTAGATGTATTAGTATTTCGGAAAGATATCTTAAAACATAAAGTTGCATGGCTGTTAAGGTGACATGCCTCCGATGGACGATGTTGGTGATAATGACAGAACCATGCTTCTTCTCTTAACCTTACAGCTGATATTGACTTCTGACTTTACTTCAGCAAACCCTTTTCAAATCAGGGTCCCAATATGTTTAATGATACAGGCATAAATAAGTTTTGAGAAAGTGTAAACCCAAACTTTGCAAAAATCTTGTGATGTTGGTGTCAAGGTCTATGTGGAATACGTCCATTGTTGGAAATCATGTAATGACACTGATACTTGTGCCATATCCAAATAAAACATTATACAACACCCTCACAGATAACACTGACCTTTCACAAAAGATTTGACATTTGATTGGTCATATTTTACCAGCAGGATTCAAACCAGTCTATGCTCCATTTTACAAATCAGTGAACACCAAATATCCAGTAGTGTACAGAATGTCTTGGTCTGAGTAATAATTGCTGGTCGAGAAAAGCTCATGATGAGTAGACTGTGTAATGTGATGACTTCCTGTGAAATGATTACATTGTGCACACCATATAAAACAACTTACCAAAACTTCAGTTAGAAGTGTGAATATAGGCTTCAGTTCATTGGATGGTGTGTTCAGATACTGTGACTGAAACAATAAATATTTAATGACATTAACCTTATTTCCCATCACATCACATGTTGCAGCAACAGGTAAGGTAAATCATCTTCATCATAAAACGGGGCGGTGGGGTAGCCTAGTGGTTAAAGCGTTGGCTCGTCACGCCGAAGACCCGGGTTCGAATCCCCACATGGGTACAATGTGTGAAGCCCATTTCTGGTGTCCCCCGCCATGATGTTGCTGGAATATTGCTAAAAGCGGCGAAAAACCAAACTCTGTCAGTCAGTCAGTCATCATAAAACATTCACATACACTCATATTACCTCCAATATACATTTGAGACTTGCATTACCACTGTTCACTTGCTCAAGGGATACTCACTGTCCATGTCAAAATGGAAGATGGTGGGTAATAACTACCATATCGTATACACGGATACTATGATAAGGCCTAAAAACAACAATGTTGTGGTTCCGATTACCCGACCGACCATTGAATTCTGGTGCTGACCCTAGTTTTCTCACGAGGTATGAATAAAATAAGCTTTCAGATACCGGCACCAATGGATATTGGCCATTCTGATAGAGAAAGTCGACATGATGGCCACAAGCTTGACTGAATAAACAATTACACATTGATAAAAATGTGTTATTAGTTCGTACTTTACTTCCCAAAAAAATGTTAAAAAAAGTCCTTCCTACCTACCTACCCTAAATTTTAAAGAGGTGTAATCGGAACCACAACATTTTTTTTCACTTGGCGTAATGGTTCACAAGCCTTCGGTGCATATGAGATTATGTTCAAAATATTAACTAAAAAGGCTAAAATCTTGCCTAACTCATGTACCATGGGACTGGATGAACCCCTAGTTTTTACCACCTCTGATGTGGCACTGACAGAACCTATCCCAATGACTCAAGGAATACTGACTTGCGCGTAAACAAACTGGCAGCCAATGACAGTAAATGTCACAATTACATGAATGTGACTGAGTGTAAAGTTCTCAGGATGACAGAAGCTCCAGCAAATCTTAGTTTCTCTTTGACAGGATATTTTATGTTGTGATATCGAATTTACTGGGGTAATATTCAGATATATTTAAAGTACATGTAGTGTGAATTAAGTACATATAATTCTTATTACAAATCAACTGTTTACATTAAGAAAACCATTTCCACTACAAAAATAACAGAAGCAGACCCAAACAATATCACAATTCTGACCAGCTCAGGTGACATCAATGTATTCATCTTTGAACCCTAATACTGTACAATTCAGACTTTAGTTCGGTGCCCCTAGCTATATAAGCGAGTCTGGTAATTCCATACTTTCGTATCAAAGGTAAACATCGTATGCTACCACATTTATGCTTGAAATCGGGACATTTCTATAAGGGACTGGCTTTTAATCACTAAAGGTAAGTAAATAACAGTAACTGACAGATAAATTGACAGTTTTATGAAAATTCGTTTTCTTCAAACTTTTAAAACTTTTTCTTCATTATTCATAATTGGATTTAATATGAAACACTCTTCCTTACATTGATGAAGTGATTTTTGAAAATGATCTGGCCCTAATACGCTTCCATACTTCGCATCTCCGGGTGGATGTTATGCGCATCCGTTGCTGCGCAGAATTACCGGACAGCAAGCGATGTCGTCAGAATGCCGGTAAGGTCAACCGTATGGCATAATGCAACGTTAGAATCTTAAAGTCATCAATAAAACTTATATTTCTATTACCGGACGGCATTGTACTAGAGCAATCACTTCATCCTAAATGCCATCACTTGCAGTCTGGAAAGCACCAAGAATGTCATTTGAACTTTGATTGAATGAAACATCAATTCCAGCAGTGGAAAAACTGTCTTAACTGAGATACAGACAACAAGCTGTTTTGTAGAAAGAAAGTGGGAAATAATCAAAGGACTAGGAATGTGACTGACTCACCATTAAGTGTTTGACGAGGTTGAGGCTGAAGGTTTTGTTACAGAAGCTACAGTACAGCAGCATGTCTGTGATAGTGGCATTGCTCACAATCAGTTCTCTCACTGCCTGAACAACCTGAATACAACAAAAACACTCAACATAATGCAAGCAAAATACTTCAACATCTCAACACAGGTAGAAATTAGATTACTTCTACAGTAGCAAGGAAGTGCTAAATGTATCATTTAGTATAAAGGATGCATCATACATACCTCACGTAGATAGCGAAAAGAGTCTGTTCCAAACACATATTTTTCCATTTCTGCTGACATCTTGAGAAAGACATTTGGAAATACTGTTTTTGGCTTCATGACAGGAAATTCACCACTATCTGGAATGACAATAATGTAATTTTCTGAATAAAATTGATATTTTTATACTTATCCTGATTCATGCTTAATGCTTGTCTCCTTCCTCTTGCGAACGTTAGTGGAACACTTGTATCTCCTATTGAAGCTCCCTTCAATAAAGAACAGACGTAAAATCACTCCTACCAAGAGTTATCTCCTCAGCTGTCCAGGCGGGAAACTGGCGCCACCGTCCCCACATGCCTCACTCTCTCCTGATTATGAGCCCGACACTTGAATTTGCAGGGAAATCCAAAGTGTCTAGTGGGGAGGCTGGGTGGGCTTACCTCATGAGTCAGGACAAGTATAAAAATATCAATTTTATTCAGAAAATTACATATTTTTCCTTATCCTGACTCATGCTTAATGCTTGTAGAATCCGACGGAAAAGGCGGCGGGCAAGTTACTTTGGATTTCATGTAGTGATTTACGTCTCTATACCCCCCTATGGGAACTTCGTGTTGGCACTGTTATTCAACTGCTAATCTCTGCTGCTGCTGCGACCCTGTCCTTCCAGCTGCCTTTAGATGGGGGGACCACAATAGTTAACTTTTGGTCCTTTCTTCTGTTAACATTTTATGTGGATTTTGCGACTCCATCTCTTGATGCAAGCACCAAGTGGAGAAGCGACCCATTCCTGTACAAGTATCCTTACAAGTACTGGGTCATATTACTTATGCTTGTCTGTCCTAGACGTGCATATAGACTTAAAGCAAAACTCTCTGGAGTGTAGGCTTTGTAAGTCATGTGATAAAAGGGCAAGACACCTTCTCAGCGCCTTTGTAGGACTATCAATTGTTGTGCTACAACAAGTGGGCCGAAATGGTGAATGCCAGAGCCATCCTCAGTGGCGACGTCCTTCAGGTAGTGGTTGGCAAACATCCTGTCCCATTTCCAGAAGCAGCCTTCCATTATCGTACTGATAGAGCAATTCCCATGTACAGCGAGCGTTGACGCCAGAGCTCTAACTTCATGTGGGTTGAAGACTCTTGGAGGATCTCCGTCTGTGTCGCTGTCGATATTGAGACGAAAAGACACTTGAATTTCCGTCACCTGGACCTGGATCTTTGTAGGTAGACTTTCAATGCTCTTACTGGGTACAAGGATAGGGTATCCTGTGGTCCAAGGACTGATGATAGTGTTGGGACATGGAACTGTCTGTCTGGATGACCTGGCAGTTGATTCTTTGCTATGAAGTCCCATCTCAGTCCCCTATGCACGATGTTATGATTATCATCAAATCGTGTTCTCTCGAAGTTCAGAGCATGTATTTCCGATATCCTTGCTGCTGTTACTAATGTTATCAGGAACAGCGTCTTCTGCGTCAAGAACTCGAATGATGTTCTCTGTAATGGTTCGTAGATCTCACTAGTGAGATGTCGTAGAACTACGTTGAGGTCCCACGCCGGAGTTCTAAATCTCTGATGTTGGTCCTCCAATTAAAAGGGCGTAGTAAGGCCAGTAACTCTGGTACTTTTGTCAGTTGCACTTGTCCTCATGGCGATAACTGAGCTCAATGCTGCTAGGTATGTTGAGAGTGTTGACCCTTTTAACCGCTTCCTTTGTCTAGGTGACAAAGGTAGTCCGCCACTTGAGGATGTGTCACTATCATGGTTGTGAAGTCGATCCTCGAAACTTATCATTTGTCTCGAAGCGTCACCACTTGTCGTCAGACAAGTTGCGTGAAGACTTGCATAAAGCTAGTGTGACTGCTTTCGCTGCCCTGGCGAAATATCCTCTCTTGTTCAAGCATGCCTTGATACAGTCCACACGTGGAGCCGGAACACCTCTGGGTTGCCGTGCGCCTGCTTTGTGTGAGGATGTATTAGTAAATTCGTCCACTCTGGTAGTTGCAGTTGAGGCAGTCCTAGGTCTTGTATGAAAATAGGGGACCATATTCTCGCTGGCCAAAAAGGCGTGCCCCAAGTAGTTGTGGGTCTCTCGCCTGACTGATTTCTGCAATACCCTTGGTATTAGAGCTGGTGGAGAAAACGTGTAAGCGTTTAGTCCTAGCCAGGCGATGCTTAGCGTGTCCGTTGCCCAGGCCCGTGGATCTGGTATTGGTGAGACGAATGTTATCAGTTGACCCTTGAGGCGAAGAGGTCTATTAATGGTGCTACCATCTCTTGTATGATCTGCTTGAAGATCTCTGAATGTAGCATCCAGTCTGTTGAGAATGGCTGCGTTGGACAGGATAGTGCATCTGCTATCACATTCTTGGTTCTTGGAATGTCGCATACTCTGATGTGGACATTCAGGTTGACTGTTATGCTGACCAGCTGAAAGCAGAGGTCCAGAAGGTTCGCCGACTTTGTTGATCCTTCTGTAGACCTGCGCGGAGACCTGCATGGAGATCGGCTTGGCGATCGACGTGGAGATCGGCGTGGTGAGTGGCCCGGTGAACTGTGTCTGTAGGGTGACCTGCGCAGAGATGAGCGACTGTGGGTTCGCGAAAGTCTCAGCGAATCCCTCGACGATCTGCATGATGCGGAAGATGTCTTGGATAATGTATCTGAAGTCCTTCGCGAATGCCTTCGCGAACGCTCACCATCTGATTCCGCATCTGGGGAATGGTGGCTGGTCCTTCGCGAACAACTTCGCGAACGCAGGTCGTCCAATTCTGTATCCGGTGATGGGTGATTCCTCCTTCGCGAATGCCTTCGCGAACGCTGATCATCTGATTCCGCATCTGGGGAATGGCGACTGGTCCTTCGCGAACGCTGGTAGTCCGATTCTGTATCCAGGGATAGGTGATTCCTCCTTCGCGAACGCCTTCGCGAATGCTGATCGTCCGAGTCCGTCGCAGGGGATGGTTGAGTCGACCTTCGCGCATGCTGGTAGTGTAGATCTGCTGCCAGATGTCACGTTGATAGAGGGTCCCTCAGAGACGACGTCTGCGTTGGAGCCTTCGCGAAGGCTCGGGACCTCTATGAGGGCTGTGACTTCTTCTCCAGGCCGTAACGCTGCTCCATCATCTCCTGCATAAAGTCCCCCGGGTTGAAGGTCTGCGGTGGTAGTGGCGCTGCCCTTTCTGCGGTGATAGCGACGTGGCCCCCAGGACGCTCATCTGTTGTCAGCTAAGATACCTCGGGTTGAGACTGGTCTTTCCTTGGGATGAACCTCTGAGATGATGATCGGTTGATCATCGTAGAGTCCCTGTTCCGTCATCGGGACAATCTCAGCAGAGAAAGTCCTTGTAGTCTGCGCAGACGTCCCCGTAGAGTTGGTCGTCATCTTAGGGGTGTGTAGCCCATCTGGGTGGAGGATGGCTTCTATTCAACGTCTGCGATGATTGTAGAGCTGCCCTCTCTGCGTTGATAGCGATATGGTCCAGGGATTGCTCATCTGTCGCCCTTGGACTGCGTGCTGTATGTCTGGGATGATCAGCAGCGGCTCATCATGAAGTCATCTCACTGCCATCGGGAAGATGTCTGTGAGGCTTCATTCTGCGTAGAGGATGGCTTCTTCTTCTACGTCTGCGTTGAGGGGTTGTCCGATGTAGAAGCCAACGTCTTCGAAGTAATGGCGGACAACATCCCACGCCCATCCTCCGAGGACACCTCTGGCAGGTCACTTGATGGTAGTTAGTCGTCTAACAGCAGTAGACAGCTCGTGAGGGACTCAGCCAGTTATCCATGACTTGGAAAGTCACCTGGATTTGTCGGTAGTATGTCTAATTACAGAAAAAAATTATTTATTAAATTGAATATCTATTAAATGCTGATAAAGATTACAGCTATTGCTGGAAGTACATGTTGTTCTGCAGCTAGGGCACAATCAATGCGGGTTTGCAGCAGCGAACCTAAACCTACAACGAAAATAGGTTTTCATGAAATGTCAACAACTGAACAAACACGGACAATTCCGTGAATAAACAGTGCTAAATACGATTAAATATCAAACCATAATGTTGAAGGATACTAACTAAACCTCTATAAAAGTAGAATAGAGGAGAATAACTAAGTAATTAAAGGATATAGTGCCGTATAGGAGATACAGGCGCTCTCACAACCTGCCCACAGGGCGAAGAAGGAGAGAGTAAGCCATGTGGGGACGGTAGAGCCACAGTTTCCCGCCTGGACAGCTGGGGAGATAACTCTTGGGAGGAGTGATTTTACGTCTGTTCTTTATTGAAGGGAGCTTCAATAGGGGATACAAGTGTTCCACTAACGTTCGCAAGATGAAGGAGACAAGCATTAAGCATGAGTCAGGATAAGGAAAAAATTTACACAATTTAATAAACACATAACCAGGTAACATTCATCATCTTCGAGTGCAAATGTAGTAAGTAAGCGGTATAGCAGTCAGTCCTGGGAGCCATGTGGCTGCTGCTTGAAAACATCACACTCACCTGTTTAACTAGACATATGTTTTCCTTACATGCTTAAAAAAGCCTAACTAATTATGGACACCTATATGAAATTCTTCTGCCCTGTACATGTGATATTCTCCCTCTGCTGTGTTAGTTCACTCATGTGATATTCTCCCTCTCCTGTGTTAGTTCACCAATGTGATATTCTCCCCCTGCTGTGTTAGTTCACTCATGTGATATTCTCCCTCTACTGTGTTAGTTCACTCATGTGATATTCTCCCCCTGCTGTGTTAGTTCACCAATGTGATATTCTCCCCCTGCTATGTTGGTTCACTCATGTGATATTCTCCCTCTACTGTGTTAGTTCACACATGTGATATTCTCCCTCTGCTGTGTTAGTTCACTCATGTGATATTCTCCCCCTGCTGTGTTAGTTCACTCATGTGATATTCACCCTCTACTGTGTTAGTTCACTCATGTGATATTCTCCCTCTGCTGTCTTAGTTCACTCATGTGATATTCTCCCTCTACTGTGTTAGTTCACGAATGTGATATTCTCCCTCTGCTGTCTTAGTTCACTCATGTGATATTCTCCCCGTGCTCTGTTAGTTCACTCACGTGATATTCTCCCCCTGCTGTGTTAGTTCACTCACGTGATATTCTCCCCCTGCT